GCAACGTACTATCACAAATGTTCTTCTGATGAAAACCCTCAGCATCAATTTTGTCCAGAAGGCGAAGACAGTTGGTGTAAATGGCGTAAGGCTGAAGCTAATAATGAACTGGACCAATTTCATCACGATAAACCACCTCTAATTCCGCAAGTCCAAGAAGCTATCAAACCGGTTTTCGAAGATTTATCGAAAGACGAATTATTAATTCGTTGTTTAGGAGCAGAGACACAAAACAATAACGAATCTTTGAATTCTTTGATTTGGACTTTCGCTCCTAAACATCTTCATTCTGGTCCCAAAGTTGTTGAAATTGCTAGCTACTTAGCAGTTATTATCTTTAATGAAGGTTTTCAAGGTATTTTAAAAGTTATGTCGATTATGGGATGCCCTGTTGGTCGTGAAGCCCAAGCGTATGTTGAGAAACGGGATGAAAAGCGAATCTTACGCTCTGAGCGGCGCGTAAGTGATGTCGTTAAACAAGCCAGGATTGACTAAAGAGCTGAACAATCTGCTTTAAAAGAGTTTCACGAGGAAGAGGAAGGAATACTCTATGGACCAGGCATCGCCGATTGAGAGTAAGTTGATATTTTAATAGTTTTTAACGGACTTGAAACTTTAAACGCGTTTTTCTCAAAACTGTGTTTTTCAAACTTTCCTCCATTGTATCTCAGAAACGGCTGGACCGAATTACTTGAAATTTACAGGGCACACTCAATATATGTAAACGCATGGAATGAACTATTATCAATCGAAAATTTTCAAAACTTCGATTTTTTTATAGCAAAAAACAAAAAAAAAACGCCTAATTTGCAACTTTTATTTCAAATGTCTATCAAAAATCCAATTTTTTTATATTCATTTGATTATAGGTCATTCCGTGCTTTTAAGCCTACAAATTAAAACGCGGTTTTTTTTTTTTTTCAGATAAGCCGATCAGCCTGAATCGTGGAGGAAGTGGGAGCTCTTTTTTTCGAGGCGGGGGTGTTCAGAGCGCTGTAACTCTAGTTTGACTGAATATTTTTAGCTGAAATTTTATATTTATACTGTCCAAATATGTGTTAATAAATGATAAAAAACTTGAAGCTTTAAATATTTACTGGTCGTAGAAAAAAAATCCTAAAATATCCCTAAAAAACAGGCCGTCACATAGGAAGACCCCCTTAAGCGATATCGCGTTTCGCATGGTGAGCTGTAGGTTCCGGACGCCCCTCCCCCTCCCCCTATCCCTTTCCTACTTCCTTCCCCTACCCACCCCTTTCTTACATACCATGGCAGCGGATTATAAGAGATTTTTACCCCAGGGTGGTACCAGTAACCATGTTACTGGAGAATCCACCCCTGAGATATCACACTCAGGCTGCCCTGCGTATTCTGGGGTGGGCAATTCTCCGCTCAATTTGGCCAGAAGGAAACCGAGCAAATCTCCATCGGCGTTTCCCTTGCTCATAGTCAGTTTTTGCAACATCAGGGGAATTCATTCCAATCTCAACGCCGTTCACCACCATCTAGAGACGGCGAGGCCGGCTTTGCTCTTCCTTACGGAGACGCAAATATCCTGTCCCGACGAAATTTCGTACCTGACCTACCCTGGATATAAATTGGAACACCATTTTATTCCACGGGCCGGTGTGTGCGCTTATGTCAGAGAGGATGTTTGTTGTCGCCGTCTTGGTACACTTGAAGGTACTGACCTGTCCATTTTATGGTTGCGTGTAGATTGCGATGACCACCCCCGCATCTATGCATGCTTATACAGGTCCCATAGCGGTAACACCGAAACTGACCGACTCATTGAACACGTCCAAATGGCTACAGATTTTTTGCTCCAACAGATTCCCTCCGCTGAGGTCGTGATTCTAGGTGACTTCAACGCCCATCACGCCGAATGGCTCGGTTCACGTACCACCGACTATGCGAGGAGATCTGTTCATGGCTTTGCTTTGGCATATGGTTTGACGCAACTGGTATCCTCGCCTACGCGAATTCCTGATGTTGTTGACCATATACCTTCACTGTTGGACCTTCTGCTGACTTCTCATCCGGACGGATATCAGATCTCTGTGGAAGCCCCACTGGGAACCTCTGATCATTGTCTGATACGGAGCGAAGTGCCTCTCACGCGTCTTTCTTTGCCGCGATCTATTGGTCGACGTCGTGTTTGGCATTTTAAGTCGGCAGATTGGGATGAGATGCGAAGTTTTTTTGCATCTTACCCATGGAGGCGAGTTTGCTTCGCACTGGACGATCCCGATGCAATGGCTGAATCTGTCACCGATGTAGTACTTCAGGGAATGGAGATGTTTATTCCAAATTCCCTGGTACCTGTCGGTGGTAGGTCTCAATCCTGATATGGCGGATCCTGTAGATCGGCGTCTCGCCATAAGCAGGAATGCTTCCGTGCCTGGATTGCAGCTGTGAAGTCGAGTGATCCAGATACCAGTGCCCATAAAAGGAAGTATAACTCCGCTTCCAGGTCCTTCAAAAGAGTTATAGCCACAGCAAAGTCGGAGCACATCAGCAGAATTGGTAGGAGACTGAACAGTCTTCCATCTGGATCCCGGGCTTTTTGGTCTCTTGCCAAGGCTGCTCAGGGAAATTTCTGTCAGCCATCTTTTCCACCACTGCGCAGAGCGGATAACTCGTTGGCCCAACATGCTAAAGAGAAGGCCGATCTCCTTGGGTCTCTTTTTGCATCCAACTCGACACTGGACGATAGGGAGCAATCACCGACGGTCATCTCGCGGTGTGAGACTTCTATGCCAGAGGTAAAATTTACCCAAAAGCTGGTACGTAAGTCTCTTTTCTCCCTAGATATCCACAAGTCGAGTGGGCCTGACGGTATTCCTGCTATTGTGCTCAGGACGTGTGCACCTGAGTTGGCTCCGGTACTAACGCGTCTTTTCCGGTACTGCTACTCTACAGGTGTAGTCCCGAAACTTTGGAAGACGGCTTTGGTTCATCCGATCCCTAAGAAGGGAGAACGCTCAGATCCAGCTAACTATAGGCCCATAGCCATCACCTCCTTATTCTCAAAGATCATGGAGTCGATTGTCAACCGTCAACTCCTACGATACCTAGAAGTGAACCAGTTGATTTCTGATCGTCAATATGGCTTTCGCCAGGGTCGGTCGGCTGGTGATCTTCTAGCGTATTTGACACATCGATGGGCAGAGGCTATTGAGAGTAAGGGGGAGGCCCTATCTGTTAGTCTGGATATTGCGAAGGCCTTTGATCGGGTTTGGCACAAGGCTCTTCTTTCAAAGCTACCATCCTTTGGGTTGCCTGCGAAGTTATGCAAATGGGTCGCCAGCTTTCTCGCTGATCGGAGCATCAAGATCGTTGTCGATGGTGCTTGCTCCGACCCACACTCTTTGAATGCTGGTGTTCCACAAGGCTGTGGGCTATCTCCGACTCTGTTCCTTCTGCATATCAATGACATGTTACAAATCAACAACATTCATTGCTATGTGGATGACAGTACCGGAGATGCCTTGTACAGCGGCCATGCTAATATGTCGCAGGCAAAAGTTATAGAGTACCGGAACAAACTTGTGTCCGAAATCGAAACTTCACTCCATCAAGTTTCGGTCTGGGGTCAGGAAAATTGTGTTCAATTCAACCCCAAGAAGACACAAGTTTGCGCGTTTACCGCTAAAAAGAATCCATTTATCGTATCTCCTCAGTTTCAATACACTCTCCTTGATGTGAAGCCAAATCTCGAGGTCCTTGGCGTTGATATATCCAGTGACGTTCAGTTTTGCGGTCATTTGGAGGACAAGGCTAAAATAGCCTCAAAGAAGCTTGGTGTGCTCAGTAGAGTGAGACGGTATTTCACGGCGGCCCATCGCTTGCAATTATACAAGGCGCAGATCCGGCCGCATATGGAATACTGTTCTCATCTCTGGGCCGGAGCCCCACAATACCAGCTACTTCCATTTGACCGCATTCAGAACCGAGCAGCCAGAATCATTGGTAATCAACGTCTATGTGACAGACTCGACCCATTGGCTTTGCGGCGAGATATTGCATCTCTGTGTATTTTCTACCGCATATATCACGGGGAGTGTTCTGAGGAATTGTTCGGATTAATACCAGCTGCTGAGTTTCACCACCGTACCACCCGCCAGAAACTGAAATACCATCCTGATCATCTGGATGAATGGCGGTCTTCCACAGTACGGTTTTCTAGAAAGTTTTTGCCTCGCACAACCACATTGTGGAATCACCTTCCAGCAATGGTATTTCCGAACCGATACGATATTGAAACCTTCAAGAAAAGAGCTTATTCCTTTTTAAAAGGCCGACAACGTACTTGCAATTCCCCTGGTGTTGCGGGAGCTCATGGGCGGCGGTAATCACTTACCATCAGGTGAGCCGCATGCTCAATTGTCCCCTGTTATAAAAAAAAAAAATTCATATATTGTTCGTAGCATTATTATATCTTGCGCTGCTCATTGCCAGACACTTAGTGTGGTTCCAACCCCCCGCCGGACCCCCCTAAACTATACTATTTTAGAAATACATTTACGTTATTTTAATAAAGCTGAAATTTATATACATATATTATTGAGAGTTCTCTCAAACTAAGTTTCCTAAATTGCCAGACAGTTAGTTGCCAGGCAGTTCTTGGTTCCTTATCCTACCAGACTCATTGAAACCGAATATTGGGTAACAACGGTGTATACAATTTCATATCAAATTCGTTATTTTAAGATGCTCCATTTTTGATGACTGGAAAGGGGAATTTAATTGCAATCCCAATTCAAATCAATGATACCCTAAATAACGTTATCATATAAGATCTAAATAACCTAAAAGAACAGACTTTAGAACTAAAAACAGAGATCAACAACATTCGTAAGGATTACAGTGACATAAAGACCAGCTATATGAAGTTGTAAAGGCGTCAAAATGAAACTTAAAAAGAAATTGCCACAATTCAGAAAGCACTACAATTTACCAACGAGCAACAAGATGAATGTACAAAACAAATTGAAAAAATGTCTGATACAATCAAAAGTATCGACTGCTTCGAAGAAGAGATCAATAATCTAAAATTACAAAATCTGCAGTTAATCTCAATAATAAACACAAACGAACAAAGAAATAGGCAACTAAATATAGAAATTGTGGGTGTGCCTGAATTTACCTATGAAAATATAAAAGACAGTGTCATAAAAATTGTAAAAACACTCGGTATGGATATTCAAGCAAGTGACGTTTTGCAAGTAAATAGAATCACTCCAAAAATAAAAATCCAAGGTCGGCCCAGAGCGATCGTAACTAAGCTAAACTCAAAGTTACTCAAAGACAACATCATTTCTCGTGCACGGAAGACACGATTGACTACAAAAGATGTCGATTTACCAGGTGAACAGAAACATATTTTTATTAATGAACACCTCACTCCGTACAACAAACAGTTATTAAAAAAATCTAAAGACCTGGCCAAAGCAAAATAATATCTTTTTGTGTGGATAAAAAATGGCAGCATTTTGTTACGAAAGGACGATACTACACATGCGATTCAAATTTTTACCGAAGAAGATTTAAAAAAGATCAGTGCATAACAATCCACATTTATAATATTTCCTATATATATTAGTGATTAAGAGCTATTTTTGTCTATATTTACAACATCTTTATTTCATTACATTATTTGTTATTCAATTAAAAAAGTAAATCACAATACAAAAATAAAACCGATGATTATTGTAAAATTTATGTTTTTATCAAAAATAAATTTTGATATATTGCATTTTGAATGGTATCATTGTAAAACTATATTGGCGATATATATTTTCATATACACCGCGTACATCCTAAGACATTATCCATCTTACTTTTTAGTTAATAAAATAAAATTCATGTGTACACTACATAACACACACACACACATACATTGACACTGCGAGGGCGTGTAGTAGTAGAACGCGAGCAATGCCAATTCATTTCATGAGTCACTCAGGTTGTACTACGGTTGTGCACCGTACCTATAACCGCCAAACCGTATTGCACTGAGCAAACTGGCAACGGCAAACTAGAATTTCTTATTGCAATGCCCTCGAGATTCGAACAAACATAAATTATTGTGCGTGTATAAACCGTTTAAAGAATTAACAATATTATTGAAAATATATCTTTGTAATTAAAAATTAATAACTCCAGTAACTATATATCGAGTATGTTAGTACGGTTTAGTCCCCACAGTATAATATTCACATGGAATATCGCTTGGAATGTTTACAGAAGATATTTACCTATTTATTTATTTATAATTGCACATGCGTATACATAAATTTCCATATGATAAATTAACAATACACGTGGACTCTGTTTAAAGAGTATGGCAATATCGTAGACGACTCATTCCCATCATGAAATTTAAAATTTTGATCTGTTGTGTCCATTTAGCTCCTATAGTACGTCTGTTAAAAATTCTTTTACTGTATAGTAAGCTTAAATAAATAAATTTTACCTTCTTATTTTATGGTTTCCGGGATTTTATTATATATTACAATGGATCGGTAATACGGACTCGCCCTAAACATTTCTATTTTAGGTTCTGGTAGAGACAGTTGGCTTTTTAATCTATTATTACATTTAAAATTAAAATATGATAAATGCTCATGAACAAATACAGCTATCTCCAATATATAAATAGAGATTTATTAAAAATCTAAATTACCGATTTCGTAAGCCATAAGCCATTCATCTGTTTATAAGGATAACTGTAAACAATACAATATATTGACACTCGATGATAGACGTACGGTGACGGATTATTATATCTGTTACGTTTTCTTGTACGATATAGTAAACGGACGTCTCGATTGTCCAGATTTAGAATCGAGTATATTGTACGATGTACCAATTAACCGTTCACGACGCAACACTCCACCATTGCTACACGTACCAAGCGCGAAGAATATATTATCCTAAGTTATAAGAAGAAATGATATTTTATATTGTTATAAATACATTTCAGGACAGACCATTGAACTTGGCTGGCACCCATTTATATCTCACCTCTTTTGTCGTAGAAGTCAACGATCAAGGTATATATCATAATATTAAACTCGGCTATTATTACATTATACTATTACATTTCACATTTATGTTTTATTGATATCAATATTTTTTGTACATAAATTATTAGTAGGTATTTATTTATAACAAAATTAATACCAAATTATTTTTGATAAACTACTGTATTTTCGTACGTTTACACAAAAAATACACGAAAAAAAGACAATTATACCCCGTATAATTGTCTTTTTTTTGTGTTATTTTCTATATTTTCTTTTACCTTTGAAATGTATGTGCAGTGCATTGCCAATTCAGTATTAGCAATTTATGACCAAATCGGGGCGGTATAACGTGCGCAGATGGTTGTACTCTATAATAGAGCTCTTGTGACTTGGATCTAAATTGTTAAGATGTGGTCCATCTAAGGTTTTAACTCTGGAGAGTCCAACGTAAGCCTGCTCTTTACTAAATATAGAGGAGCCTATGTTGAGAAGAGCATTGTCAAAGCTAAGGCCTTGTGATTTGTGGATAGTAATAGCATATGTTAAGCAAATAGGGAATTGTTCCTTGTGAACATTAACATTATTTAATATCTGAAACTTGGTATTGACTCGTTCTAGTTCGTAAAGACGATTATGTAACAAATTAACTGTTATCTATTGAATTCTCAAGAAAAATAATTTGTTACCAATGAGTTCTCATTCTCGAGTTAATTATACATACCTACTTATAACTATACTAAAATTGTTATTAATTTTTAATTTAAACTATTGCCTATATCATACGTATTTACTAAAAGAATGTAATAATAATATAACCATAAATATATAAGTATAATTTAAGAGTATCGAGGGACAACTGAACATTAAGATGGCGCTCGCGCTTATGAACTTACGAGGGCGGCTGCCATTCGCTCGGACAGGTTCGCGTCAACGTTTTATCGCACCGCTCCCACACGGCGCCGCCGCGGCGCCCTATACCGAAATGCCTATTATTTAATAATAATTTATAAATAACTAGCTGAGCCGGCGTACTTCGTAACGCCTAACAGTCGATTCTCTAATTTATTAGCCGGGTCAGCTAGTAAGATAAAAGATAGTTATTAAGTCACATTATGTCAAAAAATAAAATTATTTAGCAACTAAAATTATTTTAATAGTCAATATAAAATTACAATTTCATATTTTTATTATGATACCAACTTAATATATTTCATTTTTACTTGTTCGAAATGAAGTTTTATTTTTATTGTAGTACTTTATGATACATGATATTCTTTATGTGAATAATGGCGCAATAGTAGGTGCAATAAAATGTCCTGCATGTTCTGTTGGCCCACAGCTCAATTATCAGCTCTAATAACAATTTTGTGATCATCAGATGGCGTCATATCTATTGCACTATTAATGGAAAATTGTCTTGCCTTGCAGTCGTTATCTGACACTGGTAAAAGTGAACCTGCTCTGTGATATATTTGACCTTCTATCTAAAAGACAGATAATATAATATTCTAAAGTACAGCAAAAAAATGTATTGTAAAAATATATATGGGTTACAATAGTTGTGATTAATAAACACAAAATAGCAAATAGGTACCTCCCTAAAAAATTGACATGAAAATTTTCCAAACTACTTTTGTTGCTCCAAATAAAATCATTTGAAAGCAATTGTTGTATTGTTGAATATTGTTTAAAAAATGTATGAAATCTGTTCCTATTTCTAAAACCAATGAGTACAATGGTTCTGGAGGTGGAAGCAATGGTATCAATTTCACCTTTCCATATGCGCAACACAGTCCATTAGCTCCAGTTTTGTATATCAATGCCTTACAATATTGCAAACTGAGTTTATAGGCCCAATAGTAACTGTAACACTGTCAATTGACCTATTGTAAAAGAAAGCAGCTCGATTCAAACTTGCACCATTATTAGTCGAATATAGCACTTCACGGGTCTGTCTTATCCGAATTATTTCATCTTCATTGCAATCTTCGTGTTCCTGGGCAGCACGATTGATTCGTTACATTTCGGGATCTGTCTAAATTTTTCCGCCGCTTTATTAACAGAACTTGTCAGTTGAAGATTATCGAGGCGTATTTTATAAGAGGCTTGTCGAGTATAAATGAGTTACAAACACACAAGACTTTTTAAATTTTTTGATTTTAGATTTGTAGTAATATTATAGCTGCACATCAATGCACATCAATCAGACATTTACATTTCAAGTGACATTTTATCACTGACAACCAGTTTTTGACTAATATTGTCACATGGCTTCCCGGAACCTCTCTACTTACACTTGAACTTTATGGTATGGTATTAAAGTTCAAATTGACTTTTAAGTATCATTAAGAATCGTTTGTATGGGAATACAGAAAAGTGTTTTTAGGCAATTTTTTTAATTTTTCTCTCCGTAAGAACCATCCTCGTACCTCAAGGAATATTCTAAAAAAAGAATTATCTAAATCGGTTCAGTAGTTCTCGAGATTAGCGCTTACCAACACATTTAGCGATTCATTTTTATATTATTGTTTGTTTGTTTGTTTTGTCATATAAATTAATAACGCTAAAAAAAAATAGGGGTTGGTGACAGAAGGGTGAAAATTTAGTGTTGTATGTATTTTTTAATGACACATACTAAAAAAATATAAATAAAAAATTTTGCCTAAATATTATAAAAAAATAATGTTAGGGGTGGACTTGCTTATCACTTAGGGGTATGAAAAATAGATAGTAGCCGATTCTCAGACCAAATGAATATGCATATAAAATTTCATAAGAATCGGTCAAGCCGTTTCACACACGAGAATTTTATATATAAGATAGTATATGCATATAATAAGCGAGAAACTTGCGTGTTGCTCCTTTAAATGATCATTATAACTTTACATTTTAAATTCGAAACGTGTGAATCCAAACTACCAACTATTACTAATTTATTAAGATCAGATAGAAGATGTTCAGAAAGATATCAGTAAACCCTGTTCAACGCTCTTTACTACGAAGTTTGTGGAGGGATCCTCTCCATCCACTCCTCTTGATTGCAGCTCAAAACATTTACATTACATATAACACTACTTGACTGTTATATGTAATGTTTTTCGATCACTGCACTGGATGTCGTATTAGTATTCATATTGTAGTCTTCAACTCACTTCGTGTGGGCGTCTACTAAGCTACTAAATAAATAGTCGGTGTGTAGCAACTAGCATATTAAAATATAAAACACGAATTGTTGAGGATGTAAAAGAAATAAATAGATTTTGCTTATTCGAGCGAGAACAAAAAGCGCGGCAACCGGCGGCATTAGTACTGCAAGAAAAACGCGAGAGGCGCTGCAGTCGCGCTCGCTCGCACCTACGTCCGCCATAACGCGCGTTTATTTAATATTAAGAATAGAATAGAATAGAATAGAAAATCATTTATTCAAATAAACTTAATTTAAGCACTTTTGAATAGTCAACATTTTTTTAAATCTACCGCTTATTCGGAAAGCTGTCTCATCACAAGAAGAATAAGCAAGAAACTTGTGTGTTGCTCTTTTAAACAATCCTTGTAAGTTCACATTTTACAAGTCGAAACATGTGAATACGAATACAAACTACCAACCAGCACTAATTTATTTAGGCTCAAATATAAAAACACAATAAGATTAAATCAGTCGTAGTGATAAGAGCAGACCAGTCCCTACAAGCAGCACTCGTTCACGAGTATGACGGAGTAATATTAAGAATACATTTACAATTAGTTTTTTTTTATATTTACGTGTCGCCTACACGAATATTAATATTCCCAGCACGAGACGGGCGCGCGCGCGCCACATATGGCATGATCCTATCATTACTATTATTTACAATGCTTGATCGATTCCTGGAAACCAAACCTTGACCGCGTTTCGGCCTTACTTTCACTATACCTACTATAAATGAGAAGATACAATTCATTTAACACGTTAAACGCCGATAGAAAAAAATAAAAATCGTAAAAATACTTTTGGTCGTAATTTGTTTATTATGTTACGATACGTATAGAAAATAAGTTTTATTCAATTCTGTACATGGGTTACATAGTTACAGTCAAATACATAGCTGAGGTCACCGGTGCACCCCATGGCGCACAAATACAGAAAATATATTTTCCGGTACCCGGCGCCGCGCCGCCCACCCCGCCGGCCACCCGCTACACCAGTAGTGCGCTCGCGCTTACGGTGATAGAACATGTGTTACTAGATCAATTACGTTCCTACTATCTTAGCTGTCATCATTTTCTTATTGAATAGTTAATGTGCGAGCCTTTAGATATGGATTTAGCTATGGAGGACTTCGAATTTACGCAGGATGAATGGAAGCAAATCAACGCGTCAGAAATTTCTTTTTCGATCGCTTCTATAAACAATGACGCTCTCGTAGAATCGGATAGTGAACCCATGCAATTACCGAAAAAGAAAAGACGTTTGGTTATCGCAAGTGATAGTGATAGTGACAGTGAGTCGGCTGAAAATTTTGTTACCGCCAATATAACGCAAAATGACCGTATTTCCTCAAAATGGTCGAGGCCAAAAAGACGACAGCCATCAGTGATTCCTTTCACCGAGTTCGAGGGTATGAAACCTCCATATTCTAATTTGCTGAAAGAAGCTGGCCCTGACCAGTATTATGATCTATTGGTGCCTGAAGAAATTCTTGAAATGATTGCTGAGCAGACAAATTTGTTCGCAAGTCGAAACATCACAGCCAGGCAAACAAAGCCTGGATCAAGGTCTCATTCATGGAAGCCAACAAACAAGACAGAAATAAAACAGTTTCTTGGGCTGGTCTTGTTTATGGGCGTAGTAAAGCTGCCGAAATTAGCTTATTATTGGAGCAAAGACAAGATACTTGGACAAACTTTTCCAGCCACCGTTATGAGTAGGAACCGCTTCGAGTTACTACTGCAATACCTACACTTTAGCGACAATTTATCTGTCGACAGAAATGATCGTATTGCCAAAATAAGACCTTTAATCGATGCTCTCAATGCTACTTTCCAGAAATATTATTCGCCTAAAGAAGATGTTTGTGTGGATGAAAGCCAAGTACCTTTCAGAGGTCGAATAATATTCAGGCAATACAATAAAAGTAAGCGACACAAGTATGGCATGAAGCTATTTAAGTTATGTACTGTTCCCGGATATACTTGCAAACTTAATTTGTATAGTGGGAAAAACATTGACGCAATAAATACTACGCCAACAAATGTGGTGATGGCACTATGTGAAAATATATTTGACAAAGGACACACGCTAGCAACTGATAATTGGTACACTAGCTTGCAACTGGCTTATCGGTTATTGGAGGAGCAAACCCATTTAATTGGCACATTGCGAAAAAACAGAAGAGGATTGCCTAAGGCTGTTGTTGATTCGAAACTGCAAAAAGGTGAAACAATGGCTATGGAGAATGAAGATGGAGTAACAGTGCTTAAATGGAAAGATAAGAGGGACGTGCTTATTCTGTCGACAAAGCATTCCGACAAAATTGCTGTGGTGGTGAGAAAAGGCAAACAGATTCGTAAACCAAAAGTTATTTTGGATTATAATAAATCGAAAGGGTCTGTAGACATGAGTGACCAGATGGGTGCCTATTCTTCGCCATTGCGGAAAACCGTAAAATGGTATAGAAAATTGGCAATAGAACTACTTCTAAATACGGCAGTTGTAAATGCTTGGGTCATGTACAATGAAAATAAGCAGAGCAAATCTTCAATTGTCGACTTTAGGAGGGCTCTCATAAATTATTTGACTCGGCCAGCAGATTGCCAAGAAATAATTATCAATGAAAGACCTAAAAGACTCAAGCATGTTCTAAAATTAAAGGAAGGAAAAGTAAGAGACACGCGTCGTTTTTGCGTGCAATGTTATAAAGATTCAGTACAGGAATTTGGTCGTAAAGTAGCTAAGAATAAAGCTAAGAAAGTGAGTACGTACTGTGTGCAATGTAAGGGGGAGCCTCACTTTTGTCTAAAATGTTTCAATTATGTCCATCGCTAATATGTTGATGCTATAAAAGATTTCTTATCTCATCTTTTACAGCATGTTTTGTCAAATATTATGGCTAATTATTTATATTTCTAATGGTTGTTTGTGATTATGCATACTAATGAGAACTTTATTTTATTTTTCAGTAAAACTGATTTTTATGTTTGTATTTCATTAAAAAATAAAGACTGCTAATTTTCGTTTAAATAATAAAGACTAATTTGAATTATATATCCTGAATTTTTATTTTGGTTACTTTTTTCGCTATCTTTCATTTTTTCAATTCCTTACAAGGTATGTTTGTCCCACTGCGCAGTATAGTTCTACAGCGCCGTGCCGGTCACGGAGTACGAATAAAGTAACAGTCAGTATGGCCGGCGGCGAGAAAAAGTAGTTTGAATATGACTATACGTTGAGGTCACCGGTGACCCCCATGGCGCTATGATAGAGGAAGGCTGAGGTCACCGGTGACCCCCATGGCGTTTAACGTGTTAAAATAGTCGTGTAGTTTAAATAGACTCTCCGGAATGTCGACCTTATGTCCTCTCATAATACACCTATTTTCAAGTGATAATTGCAATCTACGAAGATGAAACGGTTTGAGACGTGTATCATTAATTTTGGAGGGCCATCCATTTCATACATATTTTAATAGTCTACGTCTCCACTAACATAGATTTAAGTTCAGTGTAGAACATAGAACAGTCCGCATACGACTCCGATTTCGAATACGATGTACGCGTTACTAAGACATGTGGCACACTATCAAATAAACTTACTAATGTACAATAAATCATCATCCCGTCATACATAACGCTACAGTGGTGAGGTGATAACCACCGCGCTATAGTTCCCGGTTCCCGGTACACTGCCGTCCTTAGCGAGACAGATATACGTCGCCTCATCGCATCGCATGCTAACTCGCCCGCGCCGCTTTCGTTCGAGATTCGCTCTGTTCGGTGCACGCGCACCGAATATTACTCGGACGCGGACGACAGAGGCGCGTGCGGCGGCGGGCGGGGGACGGGGCCGGCTACGATCGCCGATCACCCGAGACAGTCTGCTCTGTCATCAGCGCGGCGTACATATTCTATAGTATAACAATAACAGCAACCAGTTTGCTGTTACTTCCGATTACCCTTTGTATGGTCCAAATATGAAAATTAACGGCTTATGATATATACACATTGATTTAACGCCGCACATCGAAAATAATGTTCGTTGCCTCCTTTTGTATTTTTGCATATCTTTTTTCGCGGCGTTTGAAATAGGTACTACTGGGTGACGCATACATTGTTAGCATTCATTTTGCGTTTGGATCGAAATACCAATTTTTCCTATTTGCATTTTTACTCAAGTGCACAAACTATAATCCTAATACCTCGCCGCCACTGATATGTCTTTAAGTACTATATTCACAGACAAGATGAGCGATCATCCGTATGCGAAACGATCCACCCTCACAACTTTATATGGCGCATTATCTACATTACAGAATAGTTAATAAGAAATCTGTGTAAAATAATAAAAGAACAAGTTAGAAATGTTTCGTAGACTTGCTATTCTAAAGTGATCATATTTATACTTTAAAACTTTAAATCTATAGCACTGACAATATTATCTGATTACATTAATAATGAGTGCGTAGCGACTTCTATGTTGATTATCGCATGCCTCTTACTTGTTATACTGTAATTATTTATATAAAAAAAAACATCTATTAAAAAGAGCAACACACAAGTTTCTTGCTCATTCTTCTTGTGATGAATCTGCATTCCGAATGAGTGGTAGAATCAAAATATGACTATTCAAAAGTGCTTGTAATGAGTTTATTTGAATAAAGATTATTTCTATTTCTATTTCTATAATTTATGTAAAGAAAAACTTTTTTTTATTCTACTACGGTAGCATACCGTCTTAGCCTATTGACATCTGAAACACGAGGGGTGTTACGTGCGCGTTGCTGACCCTAAAGAAATCTTAATATACCCACCCTTTCTGTAAATGTTATATGGTTAGTTCACTTACCAGATGTGCGCGGGAACATGTCGCGATACGAAAACTTCTGCTGTATCAAATCGCAGCTGAAGTCAATATGTTAATAAGAAACAATGTCAGTGAAACAAATAAAATTTAAAAAAAGACACGAGACACAATATATACACAACACACAACACACAGAACACGACTAAACGGGATGAACGCTCGGAGCAGACTACAGTGAACAGTGACTACACTACACTACACTAAGGCTTGATTTCACCAATCGTAGTATAAACACGTTCAAGGAAACGGAGTTCAGCGTGAACTCGAAAAAAAGAACGACGTTGATCTCGTTTTACTGGAATTCACCAGCGTTACACAGATCACGTTTGTATGGAGGCGATTCACGTTTTATTTTTTTCTTCAATTGTACTAATATGTTGGGTGTATGGCGTGAGTAAATGATAGTTAGGGTCATTCTCTATCCACGAAAAAATAAATCAGCATCGGCCATCTGCAGCCGCGCGAGTAATCATTCGGCAAAAAAACGATATTTTGTATGAAATTTTTTGCCATTTAAAGTAAATTCGTAAAGTATATTTTTTGTCTCATTTGGCTGTTTTCACCTTCTTTTTAGTTAAATATATAGTTTTAATAGCATATAGGTACTTACAACTAGTAATTCTGGTAGAAGTTTAATTATTATTGCATGTTATCGGTGGCACCTGTATTGTGATTGATGAGTCATTTGTTTGTGCGCTCAACGAGAAATGTTTCTCTGATAGACTGAATAATTTTCAGTCACTGTTATGTCCCCTACTTGAGTAATTAACACTGACTATAAATACAAAGACATTCATTAAGTCCATCTAGTTTCGCTCTTGTCGCTTATTTGTGAACATAGTGAAATACTTTTACTTTTATATTTACATTAGAACTAAGGCTGGATTTTGTACCAACCTAGATCTTTTTGTGAAATTAAGATGATATAAATTAAGATGTGGTATGTTTAATCCATATATGGATTAAACATACCACAGAGTCATACGCAAGTTAAAAAACAAATTATTAATAACCATTATTAACCATTATGGTATGTTTAATGTTTTATTGTAATATACACAGTTTCGTACTAAATAACATGTTCCCCCGTTACACATTTCTAATAATGAAAAACCTAGACCGACCCTCTTCACTTCATCTAGGATTGAAGTTTTAAGATATTAATATTCCTTCCTTCGAAACCGAATTTCATTTCATTATAGATATAAATTAACTGACCCGGCAAACCTTGTTTTGCCTTATAAATTAACTAGCTGTACCCGCGACTTCGTCCGTGTGGAATAGTGACCTATACCAAATAAATAATAAATATTTAATAATGGAACTCGAAAAATCCAAAGAAAAAAGTTTCATCGTACTAGTTTTGAAAATGACGAATTTCTTCATCTTCTATTTCATTTTACCCTCTTAATGGTAACATTTTACAAACTTAGAATGTCATATTTATTTATATTTAGTCAGCAGCATTTAGTAAAAGCACAGATAACATAATATGTAAAAGCTTACAAGATCAATTACAAGACTTTAAAACTGACGATATTTTCATATGGCCTTTCATTTCCCCTTTCAACCCTTTTTCGCATTAAAAAGTAGCCTTTATCAGGGTCTACATTATCTGTGTACCAAATTTCAATTAAATCAGATCAGTAGTTTTGGCGTGAAAGCGAGACAAACAGACAGACTGAGTTACTTTAGCATTTATAATATTTGTAAGAATATCGCTATTAAAAATAGGGGTTGGTGAAAGTCGGGCCAAAATTTAGGCGTGTATGTATTTTTAATGTAACATTATAAATAAATAAAAAAATGTCCATAATGCAAAAAAAATATTTTTTCAGGGTAGGCCACCCCTATGACTTAGGGGTATAAAAAATAGATAACAACCCTACCTCAGACCTGGCAAGTATACGTATCAAATTTCATCAAAATGTGGGAGAAGTATCGCAACTAACACTGTGATACGAAATTTCTATATATCTTCAATCGTCCCTAATGAGGTACACGATACAGTTACCTACGTATCTATTATATACCTATCTTTGCAAAACAGATGTCATGTAGACTAAATTGGCTGCCATCTATTTTCATGCTTTGTTACTAAGCATCCACTAGTAATCCGAACTGCTTCAGATCTAGCGACATCTAGCGGCTACGGCGGCGAAATAAAATAGTCCGAGTTAGGAAGGAACCATTTTCTTGTATGGGATGGGGTATCTGTATGTAATATTATGTTATCTGTGGTACCAGCTTTGTACCCGTGCGAAGCCGGGGCAGGTCGCTAGTTAATAATAAAACGAGTGGTTAAAATTCGTATAATTTAATGATTACAATTTATTTTTACATCGTTAACTTAATTGTGAATTTAATTATTATTACTATTATAGATCATTACTAGCTATCCCGGCAAACGTTGTTTTGCTATATAAATTAATAACGCTATAAAAAAATAGGGGTTGGTGATAGAAGGGTGAAAATTTAGGGTTGTAGGTATTTTCTAATGACATAATAAAAAAATATAAATAAAAAATTTTGTCCTAAAAATAAAAAAATAATGTTAGGGGTGGACAACCCTTACAACAACTTAGGGGTATGAAATTTCATAAAAATCGGTCAAGTTTCAGAGGAGTATGGTAATTAATATTGTCTTTAGATAGGGTCGTATGGCGAGGTCGTCGAAAGCGATCGTACAACACGCGGCTGGCGGGTGTTCTGAGAGGCGTTGCGTATGACCGGAGCGGGGGCGGCGTCCCCGGCGTCCCCGGGGATGAATTCACCGGGGACGGCGGTCCTGGGGATGAAGTCACCGGGGGCGGCGGTCCCGGGGATGATGTCACCGGGCGGTGGGCAGGCGGCGGGCTGCGGGCGGCGGCGACGTACGACCCTAAAGAAATCTTAATATACCCACCCTTTCTGTAAATGTTATATGGTTAGTTCACTTACCAGATGTGCGCGGGAACATGTCGCGATACGAAAACTTCTGCTGTATCAAATCGCAGCTGAAGTCAATATGTTAATAAGAAACAATGTCAGTGAAACAAATAAAATTTAAAAAAAGACACGAGACACAATATATACACAACACACAACACACAGAACACGACTAAACGGGATGAACGCTCGGAGCAGACTACAGTGAACAGTGACTACACTACACTACACTAAGGCTTGATTTCACCAATCGTAGTATAAACACGTTCAAGGAAACGGAGTTCAGCGTGAACTCGAAAAAAAGAACGACGTTGATCTCGTTTTACTGGAATTCACCAGCGTTACACAGATCACGTTTGTATGGAGGCGATTCACGTTTTATTTTTTTCTTCAATTGTACTAATATGTTGGGTGTATGGCGTGAGTAAATGATAGTTAGGGTCATTCTCTATCCACGAAAAAATAAATCAGCATCGGCCATCTGCAGCCGCGCGAGTAATCATTCGGCAAAAAAACGATATTTTGTATGAAATTTTTTGCCATTTAAAGTAAATTCGTAAAGTATATTTTTTGTCTCATTTGGCTGTTTTCACCTTCTTTTTAGTTAAATATATAGTTTTAATAGCATATAGGTACTTACAACTAGTAATTCTGGTAGAAGTTTAATTATTATTGCATGTTATCGGTGGCACCTGTATTGTGATTGATGAGTCATTTGTTTGTGCGCTCAACGAGAAATGTTTCTCTGATAGACTGAATAATTTTCAGTCACTGTTATGTCCCCTACTTGAGTAATTAACACTGACTATAAATACAAAGACATTCATTAAGTCCATCTAGTTTCGCTCTTGTCGCTTATTTGTGAACATAGTGAAATACTTTTACTTTTATATTTACATTAGAACTAAGGCTGGATTTTGTACCAACCTAGATCTTTTTGTGAAATTAAGATGATATAAATTAAGATGTGGTATGTTTAATCCATATATGGATTAAACATACCACAGAGTCATACGCAAGTTAAAAAACAAATTATTAATAACCATTATTAACCATTATGGTATGTTTAATGTTTTATTGTAATATACACAGTTTCGTACTAAATAACATGTTCCCCCGTTACACAT